GAATAATCCTGTATGAAGGAAGGTTTCGCTTAAATAGTCTTATCTACATGTGTCATCTCTTAGTTCACGGATGCACATGAACAGTCGCTACATTTATATGCGCGTCATTAGACTTTTTAGTCGCATTGCCACTTGTGGCGTTCACCGTTCCCACAAGACATTTCCGCTTCCGGTCGACACGTGCGTTTGTCCTATCGACTGACTAGTCGACACCTGAATTCAAGTTACTATCTAAGTTACGTTTAACTCATTTTAATATTCTTTTAGAAATATTCTCATTGCATATTCATTTCACTCAGATCTTTTTATAGATTAAATATATTAAAATTGTATATTTTTTTCGTACGATCAAATTTTAGAGAAAAAGAAAAACAAAATATATATGTATATATATATATATATATATATATATATATATATATATAATAAAATATAATAATAATAATAATAATAAATGATCTAAACGAAGTATTACATGATCATATTGAGAATGGAAAAAATATTTCCACTTTATTATTATGTTTTGTTTTTTTTTTTTTTTCAAACAACCTCCAAAATTTACTTTCTGTTCATTTTGAGCTGCTATTAAAAAAAAAAGAGAAGAAAAGAAATGACTAATGATCGATTTGCGATTTAACCAATTCGAATTAATATCGATCGATCGAATTCGAGTTTATCTACTATCCATTTTACTTTTCCAATGAAAGAAATACAGGTACAAGCCAGCGGGTGGATCATTTTGTCTTAAGTTAATCAATACACTGTGGGATATCATGGGAAATATATCCCACGGGGAACCTTCGAGATATCTCGTATTATTAGTCACGAATCTTCGCGTGTTTCACGTTCGATGAGTTTCGATGGAAACGAGTTATCGAATTATTTTTTTCAATGATTCAAAATGTTAAAAACGATTTATATAATTGGAAAGGGCGTCGAAATGCGTGACGTTATTAAAAAAATTGTTCATTTGTCCCATTTATTTTGAACACGAGAAAAAGAAGAAGGAATTAAGAAATAAGAAAGAGAGACAAATAAAAAAGAAAAGGAAAAACAAAACGAAAGAAAAGTAAAACACGATGCTTATTAATCTGCAGGATATTAACTTTTCTTCGAAGAGATTCATTAAATCGATGCCGTGCTATATAATATCATGGATGCATGTAAGTCTGCGGGTATTATTAACGTGCTCGTTAATTACCGTAATGTAGCAATAACATTGTCATATTTATATCGTTTCTATACTGGTATATAAAAATTTATTACTTTCAACTGAACCATAGATTTATCAAACCATAACAAATATCTATAATTCTGTATCTCCCTATATCAAATTGTTAAATATTTATCAGTATAAATATATTTCTACGATTATTAAACTCACTTTTGCTTTCTTCTTCTTATTTTTTCTTCTTCGTTCCTTTTTTTCTTTTTTGTTTGAAATCAATTAAATAAATTCTCATGTACATGATAGCACGATACTTAAATACATTAAGAAACCAAAATGATTAGATTGTTTGGGACATTTGGTTATATCGAAGCTGAGTATCTTTCATCAAATATTATGATAACCCTACCAAGAAAGGAGACAGAGGGAGAGAGAGAGAGAGAGAAAGAGAGAGTAAAAAAAGCAACTCCGATTATTGAGTATGGTAGAACCCTAAGGAATAAACGAAAGTGTAAATCTCAAGATTCAGAAACGGGTCTTTCTACCTTTGGCTCAGTAGGTCGTCCCACAAAGTTCTACAAAAGGAGAAAAAGAAAGAAAGAAAGAAAGAGAGAAAGAAAGAGAGAGAGAGAGAAAGAGAGAGAGAGAGAGAGAAAGAGAAAGAAAGAGAGAGAAAGAAGATTTGAGATTTACAGCCTAACGGCTCGTTCACGACTCGACGTCCAATTTCCGTGGATATACGCCGAAAAAACAAAAAAGCCCTTTTCCCCTACCCCAGTCCCTCGCCCCCTCCCCCCAACCACTTCCTCCCACTCTTCTTCCTCCACAAGTCACGAGTCCCTTATTTTTTCTATTCTCTTTTCCTTCGCTCGCATCTTCTTTTCTTCTCTTCGCTTCTCTACTCTTCTCCTTTATTCTCTTCTCTTCCCTTCTCTTCTCTTCTCTTCTCTTCTCTTCTCTTCTCTGTTTTCGGTTTCCTGCGGCGGCGAGCGAGCTGAGAAAGCCACGCGTGGGCGTTCGCAACGTATAATAACTCCTCCTCGCGTGGAAGTCCTGGGCACGAGCGAGTCGTTCCGCGTTTATCCTTAGCGAGCTTAGTCTTCGTGGAAAGAGAGAAAGAAGGATAAGGATAGAGATAAGGAAAAAGAGATAAAGAGAGAGAGAGAGAGAGAGAGAGAGAGAGAGAGAGAGAGAGACTGGACCACAAGAACGTGGTGGCCTTTTAACCTTATACGGTCCTTACACCTGCCACATCTCAACTTCGATACCATTTCCCATAATACTTGTTATATTTTTATATGGTATAGCGAAAAGGTAATGGATGATAAACGAAAGAGGTTGAAATTCTCAGGAATTTTTTCTTTTGTTCTTTTTACTTTTTTCTTTTTTTTTTTTTTTCATTTTAATATTTCAATTTTTGTTATTATTGTTTTATTGTTCATGTTGTTCGATCGTAGACGAATTTTGTGAATTACTTTTCCTTCGTTATTTCTTTTCTCTTCTTTTTCTCTTTTTCCTTATCCCCTCCTTGTTTTCCCGGAAAAGTTTCCTCGCTTCTCTCTTTTTCGTCATCTTCTTCTTTTTTTTTTTTCTTTTTTTTTTTCTCTCTCTTCATCACAACCATTTATATTAATTAAGGAAAGTTCGAGACCGCAACGCCATTCGAGTCAGTATCGCTTTGAACTTCACTGGGATTCAATTTGAACAGGAAGAAACTTTTTCTATGAGAGATCGTAAATCGTCTCTGAAAGGGTTAAACTCTATCCCTGTTGTTGGTATATATTATAAACGTGGCATCTGGTACCAATGAAGACTCCTACCATTCTCTCCTACACAGTGAGTCTATTGTTTTCCTGTAAAAAAGTCAAGTCAACGGATCAAGCGAGAATAAAGTAATCGGTACGGACGGGACGAAAATGAGAAATCTAATTTTCTTCATAACGGAATTACTTTCTAAATTTTTCTTTTTCTTTTCCGTCCATAATTTATTTGCCAGATGCCGTCTAGGAAAATCAATTATTTTAACTCAATAAAAATCTTACAGATTGTTGCACAAAGTGAAATTAATTTTTTGAAATATAATAGAATAAAGATGGTCCGAACGTGAAATCAAACAATTAATTAAAAATCCAAACAGACCTGACAATCGAGACCTGTTAAAGATCTGAATGAACAAAAAAAAAAAAAAAAAAAATAAAAAAGAAGAAGAAGAAAGAAGTAAAAAAGGAAAAAAAAGGTGAAATGGTCTTTCGCCATCTCCTGCAAAACACGAATGTTCGTTTTGGTGAGAAGGAAGAATTGGAGAGACGATTCATCACGTTTACGAAGTAACGCACGAGCACTGGCCCTTGTAGCCGGTAAAAGATAGGACGTTCGTAACGAGAAAAGAATTCTTATCAGGAGCTGTTATCTTTCTCTCCTTAGGACGCGACGTTCGAATGCGGCATAGCTGTAAAGTCTACGTGATAGAATGAGAAAGAAGATATACGAAAGAAAAGGAAAGGGCTAGAAGATGTTTGTGGGGGTAAGAGAAAAAAATTAGAATTAGGTTGGGTCGCACGCAGGTGCTGGCATAGGCACAGGTCAGGGTCAGATTAACCCCGATCAAGTTACCTACGGCGTGGGAGTGCTGGCAGGCCTGCGTAATAATAGGATAGAGCAACTGCTAGGATAGAAAGAGAAAGAGAAAGAGTGAGAGAGAGAGAGAGAGAGAGAGAGATAAGTATGAGAGGCGAGAAGCATTACTACGAGTAGAATCTCTTTCTTTCTGTCTCTCTCTCTCTCTCTCTCTCTCTCTCTCTCTCTCTTTCTCGCTTTCATAGATAGATCTCTCTCCGTTATAAACGGTTTCATCGAGCCTTCCCTTGATTTATCTCACCGTTTTTAACGAGATCCACCTTGCAACGAACGTCGTTCCATCCTTTCGTTCGGACCTTTGATTATCTTCATTCGATTTCGATTCCTGTGCTTACCTTAAGAAGAAAATATACGTAGTCCTAATTAATTGGATTTTTTGATAGTAACTTCAGAAAAAAAAGAAAAAAAAAAGAGAAAAAAAGAGGAGAGAAAAAAAAAGAAAGAAAATCGAATTGAAAATCGATGGTTTCGGTTTAAGGGTTGTGTTTCATAGAATCACATAAAGGAAGGTTTGGAAAAAATTGATAGCTTCCTGGCACATGATTTATTCCCATATGATTTTGTAATAATTATTATTGAACGGAGGAAGGAAGAATAAAACAAAAGAGAGAAGAAAAATCATGTAACAAACTTCGAGAATAATATTCTTGATAAAAGAAAGTCATCAAAGTGAATAGTCAAGTTGAATAAGATGGAAAGTACATAGGTGTAGGTCTTACAAGCCACGAAAGAAAGATCGCTTATGTTCAGCGGCACGATGCTTACATATTTTTCTTAAGACGACGGAACATATTTGGTGATTCAGGAAAAGTATGCTCGCGTACTGCGTGTAAGCATACGAGAATGGACTCTAAAGTATAGATCCTCCTCCTTTTCTCTAGTGTCGCATACGAAGAGAGAGAGAGAGAGAGAGAGAGAGAGAGAGATGTACAAAAGAGAGAAAGAGAAACAGAGAAAGAGAAAGAGAGAGAGAGAGAGAGAGAGAGATGTACAAAAGAGAGAAAGAGAAACAGAGAAAGAGAAAGAGAAAGAGAGAGAGAGAGAGAGAGAGAGAGAGAGAGAGAAGAACCTGAATCGTGAGGCAATCCGTACACCTGTTGTGCCTAGTTCCGTGATTTATTTCGAAAACTTCCTCTCTCTCTCTCTCTCTCTCTCTCTCTTTCTCTTTATCTCTCTTGATATACACTAACCACGTCGTCTCTTATAACTCGTTGTAAGTAAGTACACACGACTGTCCCCCTTCTCTCGTAAACGCGCTGCTTTTCTCAGCAGCATTGTGTGTGGGTCGCGACTGGAATATTTCTTAAGCAGGACTTCGACGCGAAGAGACAGACGATAGTGAATTATTCTTGTACATGGCGATGCATCAATTCCCACACGCCAATGAAATTCGGTATGGACCACCGTTGGAAGCTATAACAAGAATAAGAAAGAAAGAAAAAAGATATATATTTATATATGTATATATATATATATATATATATATATATATATATGTATATGTTTGTGTCCTTTTACACGTGCGAAAGATATCAAGAAAGGGTGTTCGAACTTTGCGAATGACTTACCTACGTTCGAATACGATACCATCGGAAATCGTTGCTCGTGCAAGGTGTAAAAGAACGGTATAACGACGGTATGGAGACTTCGAGAAGGAGGACGGCGGCTTCTTACTTACTGTCAAGTATTTATAGAATCAAAGATATATCATCTGCGAAGTAGTTACAAAGATTTTCACCAATATATATATATATATATAGCTTCGATAGAAAAATTGTCATTTTTTATTTTATCGATTGATTTATTACTCCATCTTGGCGAGAATGATTCATTGTAATATGATATTCCCTGACTGGATATTAAATTCTTTTTTTTCTTTTTTCATTATTGCCTATTAAATTTGATTTAACTTTTAAGAATTTTATCAACTAACAAAATTTAATGAACAATTGACAATAAATTTAAAACTATATTTAACAATGAGAAAAGAAAAATAATTATATCGATTTTACAATGAGGATACTTAACGTGAACAGATAATCTACTTAAAATTCGAACAGGCGAGGCCGGCTTTTTCAAATCTACGGTTTTGATCGCCGAGAGAAGAGACGAGACTTACCTCTCGTTCGTCCCCATCGCACAATACTCTCATCCCTCTGATCTTTGCTCTCGTTCGCCTCGCGGCCCTTCGCGCTTTCGACGAAGTGTGTTCTTAATCGAGCGTAAATAATTGCATTTATCGCACCTATCGTTGTTGCAACGGATGGTGTAGCGAGGCCGAAGTCGCATCTCGAAATCTGCTTTCACTCTGAGGAAAGAAAATTGGTACGTTGCCAACAATCTCAAGATATTCAGCGAGAGAGATAGAGAGAGAGAGAGAGAGAGAGAGAGAGAGAGAGATAGAAAAGTGCCTTCGAACTTTGATTTATCGCGAAGGACTCGTTGCGTCACATTGCTGTTTCTCTCGACGACGATTACTAACTACACCTGCTGTGGTATCCGGCAATGGAAGAAATTGTGATCGATGGCAGTAAGATGGAATGAAACAAAGAAAGAGAAAGAATAATTATAGGGAAGCTATACCAAACGAATGACGCCTGATAATTATTCTTACACTTACTACTAATAACTTAATAAGAAAAAAAAAGAGGAAAAGAAAGAAAGAAAAAACAACAGCAACAGAGAGAGAGAGAGAGAGAGAGAGAGAGAGAGAGAGAGAGAGAGAGAGAGAGAGAGAGAGAGAGAGAGAGATAGAGAGAGAACTCCGATACCATACCGAAACAATATTGCAAACTTCGATCATTACTCTGATTAAACTATCATAATCGTGTATACACGATCTCGGTTCGTTAAACTCTCCTCGTAATCCACGGCGCCACGAACAGCGTCGTCAATAGAAGAAGAAATCTTTCAACCATGAAATCAGGGAGAAAAAAGAAAATGAAGAGGAATGCCAAGTGGAAGAGAAAGGAGAGAGAAAGAAAGGAAACGACGATGATAAATAAAAATGAAAGAAAGGAAAAGAAGAGAAAAGAAGAGACACACAAAAAAAAAAAAAGAAAAGGAAAGAAGGAGAAAAGAAGAAGAAAAACAGTGCCGGTGGTTGTGTTGTACGTTGAAGAAATAAGAGCCCGAATCTTGGTCGTCGTCTCTTCTGTTGTAGACCTCCTCTGATTGTCCACGAAGCGGTGCGCATCGTAAAGTATAAACCACCCACGGCATAAAGCTGAAGGAGTTATCGTAGAGAGTCACCTCCGCACCTGGACACCTCCTGCGCGCCTTTCGTTTCCCTCGAGGAAGAACGAGAAGAAGAGAAGAAGAAGAGGAACTCGAGAATTTGCCACGTCTACCAACTCTTTTAATCTCTCTTTCTAACTCTCATCTCTCTCTCTATTTATTTCTTTTTCTAACCATCCTTCCCTCTTTCTCTTTCTTTTTCTAATCATTTGTTTCTCTTACTCTTTCTATTTCTCTCTCTCTCTCTCTCTCTTTAAATCACTGTCTTTTCTTCTTCGAGTTTCTCTTTCTATCTCTTTCACTTTCTTTTTCCAAACACCACCGGTTCGCGGTCAGTAGTATCACCAAAGTCCCTTTTGCCGTTCCAGTACCCCTGTAGACCCCTGTAGATTATGGGAAACACCAAACGGAGGACGTTTATGGCGGTGGATCTCGCGAGCTCACAAGGCACTCAATCGCGGATTTGATACAACTTAATCGTGAACGAAGGACGAATCCTCGCATTCCTTTCTTCCAGAGGATCGCCGACGTCCCCATAAACAGGTACTCCCATCCTCCTATCTCATTCTCCTTTTATTCCTCGTCATCTTCTCGTTGGTCGACTCGGGGAATTTTTTGCGCGAGCGCAAATCTCGATTATCCCTAAGATACGTTTTCATTTTTTCTTTCATTTTTTTTCTATGATTTATTCTTTTCGATGGGGGGAGAAAAAAAAAGAGAGAGAAAAAAAAAAACTCTTACTCCAACTCAGGATAGAATTTTTTTTACACGCATACGTTACGTACCTATGTACGTGCGTATATAAATATATGGCGTATATCTTAAATAAAAATATTCGATTTGAAATATGAAACGTATTAAATCGATGGTACATTTGTAAAAAAGAAGTGGAAGAAAAAAAGAAGAAAAAATCGGGGTCACTTACTTTTCCTTTAAGAATCCATATCCATCAGATATTTTTAATGCTATTGAAATGTACATATGCAATTGATGCATTTTATCAGTAACTTGCGTTAAAGAAACATTCGTCTTTTCTGTGTGATTTAAAATAAAGGGAAAGTCGATGAGCCATGCGTATAACACGGATATGTACATTGATTTATAGCCGTGAAGATCGTCGTCGATGAACAAGCAACGTATGTTACAACAATTGATGTATCAGATGAGAAATAACGATAAGTTCTTCCTTGAAGGAGAAAGTCATAGCGATTTACATATTATTGAGCTGTAATGAATTGCAAGGAGCACGCCGACACCCTTGAGCGTTTATAAGATATTGATACGTTCGAAATCGTGTATCGATAAAATTCCAATGAGAATTAACGAGATCCGATTAACAAGTCGACTATGATTTTGTTATATCGAAAAAAAACTTACGCCTTTTTCTTTTCCTTTCTTTCCTCTTTTCTTTTCATTCTTTTTTTATTTTCCTTTTTTCCTTTATTATGAATTCATTTTCAATTTCATCTTTCTTGAATAAATGTATGAAATTATTTCTGAATATCGAATTGTTTATTTGAATTGAGAAAGACAAATCGATAGCAATACTTTTTTCTATATTTCGAAGATTAAAAATCATATGTTACAACTCATGAATTCGTATAAAAAAGAAACAAAAAAAAAAAAAAAAGAAAAAAAAGCACACACACAAAAAAGAACATAAAAAAAAAAGAATTAAAAAAGAAATAAAGAAGAAAATGATTTCATATTTTATAGATATACTTGACGTTTTTATAAGAAAGAGAGAGAGAGAGAGAGAGAAAGAAGGAACGGATGATAAGTTAGAAAGAACGAGCTGCTAAGAATTCCTTGGAGATTTCTCAACGAGATAACTCTACTCGACTTCTTAGAAAATAAAACGGAACCTCTACTGTTTCTCTCGTATGAAAGTATAAAAGAAAAAGAAATAAGAGAAATAAAGAAAAAGATAGGAAGTAACATTGTAGATCAAGAGGTAGCATAAGATAGGTAAGGACTCGTTGAAACGATCCAATCCCATCTTCCACCATATACGGTGAATACCAAGGATAGTACGTGAGACAAATTAATTCCATTTGATCGAGCAAAAATCATCAAACGATACTTATTGCGACGCGTGGGAGAATTTCAATTATAGTCTTCGTTCCCGTGTAAGAAAATCGATGACATTTACAATCGAATGAACGAACGAACGAACGAACGAACGTACGAACGAACGAATGAACGAACGTGCAGAGATGAGATCCTTTCATAGATAGAAAAACCAGTGAGATGTATTCCGTGAGATGAGAGTGAATAGCAGGGAAGAAACGATGATATGGGAAGATGTGAATTTTGTTAAGAAAACAATATCTCGAGGGAGAATGATCGAGAAGAAAATCGAAGATCTTCGGAGGATAGAAATTCAGTGATCTTCACGAAACCGATTACGAGGACGATATCACGGTGAAAGTTTCAACGAGTCGGTATCTGAAAAGGTAAAACCTCCAAGAAGGAATGAAAGAAAAAGGAAGAGAAAGAGCAAGAAAAAGAGAAAGAAAGAGAGAGAGAGAGAGAGAGAGAGAGAGAGAGAGAGAGAAAGAGATACGATTACTCGTCGATTCAAGCTCGCGCCTTTTTGCGGTGATACATCGAGCTGCGATAATTCAGCGAGTCTCTCTCGAGTTCTTCGCTTGTTCGTTTGCTTCGTCGTCGCCGTGGCTAACCTGTAATTTCAATTTGCCGAACGGACAAATTAGTCGCCGTCGGCTCGTTACGTTCCTCGCTCGAATCCCGCCGGAATCGTTTCTTCACTGTCACCGTCATCACGATCTATATATATATATATATATGTGTTTGTATATATCTGTACGTATACAAGGCGAGTTCCTATATGTGAGACAGAGAAAAACGAAATACGAATATACACCAACTTCGAAATGTAATCCAGGAGTTAAATGCAATTAAGGTTCCTTTCGAACCGTCCCAAACGTTTTACCT